ATTGATTTCTTTTATAGGAAGTCATTATGGTTTGAAATGCTATGCTGGATTCGAATGCGCGTTTTGAGTTGTACTGTGTCTTCTTATACGATTAAGTCTGAAGCTCTGTGCCGCTACCTCCGTCGCATTTTGGAAATCCGTGTCCAAACAGTGCTCTAACACCATACGTTACAATGGTAGACGTCACGGATGCTGCGAGCATAAGCACGGAGGTGTCTACCGAGGTGCTATTACTTACCTCTCTTATAGTGAATTAGTGATCCCTATCGTGTCTTGTAGCTTGGTACCGCCGATATGGCCGACTTCGATCTTGGAGATTTAAACCTTGATGACGATATCTACTTACCAACAATCGAAGACATTCTTCAGAATGTACGAACATCCTCATTCTATTATGTTTACTAAACATTTTTTTAAGAACGATTATGCACTCGACGTCACCGACGATTTTAGCGAAGTCCAGAGCCATGCAGACCACGCGATTGACGCAGAATCGTTTTCTTCTTGTTCTTGGAAGGATATTATCTTGAAGGAGAGGTATTTTACGTATACAGAAAATTTCATTTAGGTATTTAATCTATTTTTGCTGAATCTCCATATTCTGTTCTGTGCTTCTAGTTCAACCACTCTCCTTCTAGCAACTACCTACCTTTCAGTTAACTTTTTGCTTCCTCGTAATCCTTGCAGTTTGCCACATGTGTCATCTTCAGCACCTTATTCGCATAAAGATTAAGCGTATCAGGGCGGATTTCATCGATTTCAACAGTTTTATCACTTGTCAAGCAGTGTGCAGCTTCTACGATTTCAGCTACTGAAAGATTAATATTCGCTGCCTCATGATGTTCCGACGAATCTTTCTGCGATACCTCGAGGTTAAAGAAGTTCCTCTTAGTACTCTCCATCACCGTAGTATATCTTCTTTCTTGATAAGAAGGCGTAGCGACTTGTCAGGACTTTCAGATTGCTATTCTTTCCATCTCGGAGGCAGCAAAAGTTATGCCACAGTACTGTGTTTACCGTTTGGAAATTTAACTCCAGCACCTCACCGAACTTTTCCCAGGAATTGGCTTTTGCGTCAGCAGCTGCTTTTGCTGTGTCTTGTGCGCTTTTTCGTAGCACATTCGAGTTGAAGGATCTTTGCTTCCAAGTCACCTCGTGAATGCGATATTCTTCGCGCTGTATCAGTATCCACCAGGAAGTTCGTTTCTGACTTTCAAGCTAAGGCCAACCCGTTTCAGACAGCAGCATTCGGCGGCAGCCACGAGTAAGCTGCTTTTAAAGAGCTTCAACTTAGTTTCCTTCATCACCGGGATCTGTTTAAACCGTCGATGTTGTTTTAACTTGCGATGTTGTCTGCAAGTTTTGCTCTCGTATCCGCCGAAGATAATCTTTCCCGTTTGTTTCTCAGGTTGCTTTTGCCTCCAGACTTTCGCATGGTACTCCATCTCACGGCGTAGCGTCTTCCCAGGCAAAAATGGTGATCACTTGACAGCTGTGCGCTTCTCTGAACGCAGGCATCCATTACATAACGTCATAAGTTAGACGATGCTGTTGTTTAATCGGTCAACGACTTGCGTGCCAAAACTTTCATTCAGCAGATAAAATTAGGCACTTCTCAATTGTTAAAGATGTTCATAACGGACGGTTCACTGTACGCATAAAACCGTTGGGGTCGTTGTTCCCAGTCCTGCATTTCTACTTTTCAGTATCTGCTCCGATATGTACATAGAAATCGCCCATCGGAATGGTGCATTCTGTAGTAGGCTCTTTGTACAGAGCAGACTCTCCTCCACCAATTAAGGAAGCACGTTCACCCTCCGAAATACAAGGCTAAAGTTCTGGCCTATCGCCGTCTAAGTCAGAATAGTTTCGCTTTTCCGCTTACAGACCATTCAGTGATTCTCTCAGCCAGGTTGAGTTCTACCAGAACGCCAACACTAGCTTGGGCGTGGGTCGTAAAGTCGACACCAGAGCAGAACAGCTTCTTAACATAGAGGTTCAGAGTTCTAGAGCCTTTGCATTTCGTTAGCAACTTCCACTATATCAAGTTTTTACTTGCGGCCTCATAAACTATTAATGCGTTTTCTCTCCTAATGCGATGTTTCGTTTTCTGAATGTAAGCTCCCACTTTCTGTGTTGATCCCGGAGAACTTATCTGAGGTAATATAGTGACATTGCGTTGTCGTCTTTTTCCGTTTAAACCAGGTAGCGACGACACTGTTGATTGATATTTTCTTCATTTTGGCGTAGTTCTAGACTTCGCCATGCTGCTACGGCTACAGCTGCCAAAAGCCACGAATCATGTTCTGATCTCCAAGGTTTCGCAGTCTGCCTCATTTCGCCAGCATTCTAACGGCCTTCAGTTATCCAGCGACAACTGGGTTGGTATAGAATTTGATAGCGTCCGTACCTTGAGTTCACGTCACTAAGTTTTACTAAAAACTTCGCCACTGTCTCCAGCCGTCCTCTGTCTCATCTGAATTTTTGATATGCATTGTCGTAATAGATCCGTGACTCAACCTGGATTTCGCACAGATATTCGTGATTGCCACTATTGCTGCTGGTCGTCTAAATAAACGTTTAAGTAGGCTCTGATTACAGTATTTGAGTTCACACAGTACATTTGCTGGCCAGAGCAAAATTCTGCCCATCACAAATAATGCATCAGGGTGCTGATTATATTGAAAATGGAATATTTGCTCTTGCATTGATAGTTATAGCAAAAAAGGCATCTTTTAGTGTAAGGCAAACGGGTAGTTGTGGAAAACGCAAACCTAAGATGTTGTCAGGTGATAAAACACTGTCGGCGTTAATTGCGTATCTCATGGATCTTCCTCACAGAAAAGTTGGTGGTATTCCATTGAAACTTTCAGAATCGTCTGCGACAGCTGATTTGTTTCGAGCCATAAAGTCTTTTCTTTCTGCTTGAATCTTTGAAGAATTTTGCTTTTCGGTATAAATGTAAGAAATATGTGACAGCAAACTAGAATAAACTAAAGTTAAATCAAAACTATGAACACAACTGATACAGTCGTACCACAAATTATAACGATATCAGCTACGTGGTAGCCACACTGTCAATAAGGTTCGGATCTGTGCTTCCATTATTTTTTAATGTAGCTCAGCATTTTTTATCCTGAATTTTTGAGCAAGCAAATGAAAACAGCGGCTTTCTTTTAGGAGTCGACGTGGAAGCAGTTTGAAAGGACTTTCATTTGACTGTCACACGTTGACCGGAGTTTCTAATCAGCTGACTAAATCGTCGGTGAGAATGTGTGCTTTGTGACATACTGATCAATAATTTGTTTGTTTGAGGACAAATTTGGTGGATTGAAGACCTGTATGGTATGCCATTATCGAGTATCTGCACGCTTATTGTATTTTATATTTTAATTATTAGGCCGTGTGCTCAAAATATCTTGCCTTAGGAAACTCCAGAGGATCAGTTATGTTGTTTACTAATGGTACGACACGTTTTTAATCCCTCTTTTCATGCGTTATTCTGAAGATAATTTGGAGAAGTTGATATTGTTTTTGAAACACGAAAATGGTATGGATGAGTGTGGCTGCGTATCTTCTTTATGTTTTGATCGGAAATGCAAGCTTCTTCTTGTCGGTTTTGAAAAAGGAATCATAGAGCTGATTAAAGTAAAAACTGGAAGATGCTTGTTAAGAATACTGGATCTTCTTGACCATGCAATCGTACACGTACAGTTTTGGTAAGTTTAATTTGCTGTTAATTTAAACCATTTATTACCGGGGAAGTGTATGTTGTTTTTTCTCAATCCAAAACTGCGATTGCTTTCATTTGTTCCCTCTTATTGTAGAGTAATGATGTGCATCACCTGCGTAACGCTGATATATGGCTGTCATTATTTTTAAAGAAATAATTAAAGGAGACAAATTTACCGATTTGTCTCAGGTAGAGAAATTATTTTTGATTTTTCTCCTATTACTAAAGTTTCAATCTCCCAAATTGTGTTCTATAAATTATTTGAAGATTACTTTCGTAACAGTACGGCAAGCTTCGTAAGCCTATCTTCAGATGATGGTATTCATGGGTTTAATTTGATTAAGCGACCCAAAAAGAGAGTTGAAACATGCTCAAAGCGTTTTCTTTGAAACCGTGCATTACGACCGCGGAGGCTTTGAAGAACAGCACAAAACATGAAAACATCTCGTTGAAAGAATCTTTTTTGTTTCAGAAATGTGGATTTGTCTGTAGTGCTTTATAGTGTACAAGTATAAATAAGTGTATGCGAAACACTGTTTCTAGTGGTAAAACAACAAAATCTGAGCTGCTCTGCTCATTAATCGTTGTTAATTTTAAGTTACTCGTGCGAAAACAACTGATGTCGTCTTCAACCGGATCATTATATCACCACTAGCTGAATTACAGTGATTACCATGGTCTTAAGCTGTCTCATTTTTCTCTGGCTAGGGATTATCACCTTGTTGTTAATATTTGATAATTGTTTGATTTTAATATTCTATTCCCTAGTTGCATTCATGAATGAAATTATCATAGTCTTGATGTGGTTGTCTAATTTCTCTGCAAAAAAATCCTGTATTCATTGAATCATTCATTATTTTCATCGTTTGATCATATTGCCTAAACTCAGCTTTATGAGTGAATATAACATAGGTTTCAGTATCATTTAGGATTACCGTATTGAGCCTATCATACCTTTTT